GAGGCATGTTACTGGCCTGCTCCGATACCAATAGGCCTATTATAGGTCCGTGATCATCTCAAGATTGTTCTGGTTATAGGCCTATAGACCAGGTTGATACTGGTCTATAGGCTACACCAACATACAAACACTCAATGATGAGATTATTTCACTTAAGTTAATAGACCTTTCCGGAGTGTCAATCAAACTTATCAACTGACTAATCAGAACAGCGCTAGGGATACGCACGCGTCTCACAAACACACGTGTTGTCCCACAAACGCACGTGTTCGCGTATGTTTTAACATTGTCGTCTTGTGGGACCTTAGCAACAATATCCAAGGGACGGGGCTTAGCGGAAAGGTCCATTTCACTGTTCCCTGGTTAAAGTTACTTTAGGCATTATATTAGGCGGTCCAAAAATAACAAATAATGTTCAGTAGGTTGTATTCTTTTAATAAACAAGAAACCCATACGAATAAGTTTATAGAAATGCACCTGGTTAAAAATACATTTTGAAATGTTCACTTATATATTTTAAATACATCACACATAAAGACAATTTAAATGACGTCAACATAATATTTCACATATTATTAGCCTACAGGTACATACTTGTTTTAATTTTTTTTTAACGGAATGCTACAAACAGTAATTATGTATTTAACACACCATTAAATTAAGGAAGTACGATATTCACAATGGATATAAATACGTTTTTGGAATAATTGGACTTCATTTTCTGGAACAAGGTTCTTAACTATTATATAAAGTAAACGTATAAAAATATTACCGGATGGATCTTGGGACATCATTCAAGAACGTGGATTCTAAATATAAGAGTGATTTACATACATAATGGTTTTATACAATATTTATGTAAGAAAATTCACGCATGCGCGTATTATTAGTTTTGTACATATCTACAGTTTCACGGGCCACAGCATCGTTACTTATAACATTCTTTTACCTGAATATAATGCTGAATAGAATAACGTACAGATCTAGTGAGACTATCAAATATTCAATTGGTAAGATTTTGTTTTAAAATAACCACCGTTAAAAAAATAATTGCTAGGTCTACCTCAGCATTGGAAAATGCTATATATTGTCAATAGTTTTGGTACAATTCTTATTAAACACATGAACTCAGTATTACGAATCAGTGGCGTATCTAGGAAGTGGGGGGGGGGGGCGCAGCAAGCCTTCCAAATATTTCTTTCCCCCAGTCACTCCTCCCAAAACCACGGTCAAGTAATTAAAAAATCAATTAAAATTACCTTATTTTGCGAATTAGTGCCCCTCAACTGATTATCGAGCCCCAACTTCACCTTCGTGCCCCATGAGCTCCCCCATATCAAGTCTTCCAGATGCGCAAAATACGAGAGTCTCTATGCGCAGAACAAGTGAGCAGATGTAATTGGAAAATAGAATTTAAAAAATCCAAGCCAGCACCCAAAACGAAGTATAGGGATAAGCCTTCGTCGCTGAGCAGGGATCTATCAAAATGTACCCTGTCCAGCATATGCACATAGTTTTCATACAATTTTGTAAACCATAACTCGGTATTACAAATATATGTTTTCCCACCTGTCGTGGAACCATTGTATTATTGATTTCATAATATTTCTGACGCGAAGAAAAAAAAAAAAAAAAAACACCATTGGAATACATATGAAGATAGTACACACATGAACATATAGTTATAGTCATATGAACTTCCATGAGCTCCCCCATACCAAGTCTTCCAGATGCGCAAAATACTAGAGTCTCTAAGCGCAGAACAAGTGAGCAGATGTAATTGGAAAATAGAATAAGAAAATCCAAGCCAGCACCCAAAACGCAGTATAGGGATAAGCCTTCGTCGCTGAGCAGGGATCTATCAAAATGTACCCTGTCCAGCATATGCACATAGTTTTCATACAATTTTGTAAACCATAACTCGGTATTACAAATATATGTTTTCCCACCTGACGTGGAATCATTGTATTATTGATTTCATAATATTTTCATATAAAAAAACCACCATTGGAATACATATGAAGATAGTACACACATGAACATATAGTTATAGTCATATGAACATATAGTTTTCATATAATTTTTGTTAACCATAAAATCTCGTAATGCAACATGAATTCTTCTTTCATACTCTCTCGGCTTAGAATGAAAACTACATTTAAAATAAAAACTACAGTACTGATATACGTCTAATGAACTAAAAAAATAACCTTTGATAAACCTTGGTAACATTCATCAAAATAATATGAAATCGAACTTTTTCGGAACAATTGCCAAATTTTACCCGTGTTTCGTGTCCACTTGTCGAAACTGGATTCATTAAACTAAAATGTACATTTTTTTTACACAGACTGTGATCTGCTATTAACATTGTATATCATTGAAAAAAATCATCTGGTTCCTATAATGTAGTGTTGTTAAACTTTCATTTATGAATGAACCAAAATATCATTTAAAGTCACCTGAACGTTTCGATTACAAGCAGCGATCTTTTTAAACTGTGTTGTTACTTCAGTCTGGTCATGGCGCCATTAGACTGATGTTAGTCGGTATAACATTGTATATTAGATATCTATCATAACTGGATTACTGACTAGGTCTTTATTGGGAGAGATATTCATACCAACTTAGATATACTATAAACCTCAAACAATACTTTCAAGTTATTGATTATCATTTTGTATAAATTCATCAAGGAAAATCATAAAGAAGTGCTCGCTGCAGGGGAAAAAAGGACAAACATCCATCATTCAATAACTGAATTATTTATAAATACTTAGTTCTAACCTTGATTTTTAAATTTAATTTCTCATACACAATCCCTTAGATTATTCAAAATAAATTTTGTAGGTTTTACTTGAGAAAATTTCGCCATAATCCTATTATCTCTTAATGATAGACGCAATATAATAAGGTGATTTAATTTTTCTTTATAAATGTATGAATTCAATTTATGATTGAAATTTTATTTCATTTTTGTCGACTTTCTGTTCCAACGTTTAAATTAAGAAATTCATCCTTTATTTTTTTAAATACTATTTAAAAAATTGGTTTATTTGTCTTTCTAAGTTGTATAATGCAATTTCCTGTTCAAATATATCTATTGATTTTTTGTGATAGTATTTATTGTTTCCGTTAATTATTATTTTTTGGTAGGGGGTTAACTGTAATTTGTTGTTCTTTGGAATTCATTGTTTCTTTTCTCTTATACTTTTAGATTAAGGAATGATTATATTATGTAAAACTTTATGTCATACCTGTTATGGGTAATGTTTGTCGCCGTTGGATTTTGGTGAAATACAATTTTTATAAGAAGTACTGAAATTAAAAATTGAATATAATCTACAAAAATATCAGGTTAATTTGATAAATGAAAAATACATATATTTTTTTTCTTTAACATTATAATTGATTTTTTTTACGAGGCTCCGTGTTAAGGTTTTACTTGTATAATATTGAGTTTTCAAAATCAGTATGTACAGTAAACGTTTTGAGATGACATTAAAATTTTCTTATGCTGTTCAGGACATGACACCGGTCGATTTTGCGTTGCAAAACTAAGCAAAGGTGGTTAATCTGCTAACAGCCCCTTGCCGTACTTTTATTACTCTCTGTTTCTTGATGATCTGCACTGACTGGATTGTCGTAGTTCATGATAGTTATGGCCTTTTAGAAAGAGATCTAATTTAATTACCAAAATTATTTAACAATTTTAATAGTGTTCGCAATTTATGGACTGGAAATTAGCGCTCAGAGAATTTACTCCAGGTATAATAATTCGTCAGAAAATGTCCAGCATACCGACGTTGTATTCACATAGTGCGTCAACAGAGTACAATGTTGAGTCGTACCGTCGAGTGGGCTTCGAGTACCGTCGAGTGGGCTTTGTTTTCTCCGACTATAAATTCGTCGCCACGCGTTGCACACGCAATTTTTATCAGACGGTCGTTACTATTTCAGTTTGTTGTTCTAAACCATCGCTTATCTCAATCTTTGGTGCTTCTTGACCTATAGGCGTGTCGCGTATTTTTGGTTTGACCTCATCTTTGTAATCTGCATTACTTTCTACAAGCGATTCCTAAAGATAAAATATAAATAAAAAACTTAATATCATTTGTTTTTTCCTTTCGTGCGCCAATGTCAAACATACGTAAAATAAATTACGCCATAGTCATCCTAAAGAACATAGACTACGTCTGCATTTACATCATAGCTAATCATGAACGGGGAGTTTCAAATGATCACAGGCCATGAATAAATATATTAAGTTAGCGCCTGGAGAATACCCATGAAGAAAAATAAACAAAGAGAAAAGTAATCAAAACACAGGAATGTGTTCTGGGGTTGTGGATGGGATGGTTCTAGTTTTAGAAGGGTCTCTTACGCACCCACTAAACCTATTCATTTAATAATAAACTTACAAATTTTATGCGTAGTCCTCTCCTTTTCTTTGGTATCTCAATCTGAGTATTAGGTTCATCTGATTTTATAAGTTGAGAATTTTCGCTATAAGGACTATCGGGCATATTCAGCATCACATGTTTGATTGGGGAACTCGGATCATCACTACTAGGCCCCTTCTCCGGGGAAGAGTCTATAGGTCGGAATTTTTGCCGACGAATCGGTCGTCTTCCTCTGAACTCATCACTTTTACTTGAGTACGACTCCGAAGGATCTGGCTCTGAACTGCTACCCACACCAGGTGGAACATAGCGCCGGTATATACTGTATTTTGACGAGCGCGCCAATTTTGGAGACTTGACATTAACTTTAGTAAAAGACAGACGATGATCTTTCAATGCACGGGAAACTTCATCGTTCAGCATACAGAAGAACATAAAGAAAAATGCACCCTGTAGGATTAGAAACAGAAGAATATAACACTAGTGAAACAACCGAATTAAATTCAAACATGTTATGTTTATTCTAGAATGAATCAGGGGGCGAGTCAAACATAGAAATACATAAATATGTTTAGGCTGTTAGAAGAGACTTAAGGAAAATAGTGCTGAGTGTTTTCGACCCTACCAGCGTTCCCAACCTTTAGTAAAGTACCTAGCACAACAACACAAACGAGCTGAGCAATGTGTCCACATCCCCAACTTCACCGCTGCGACAACCAACCCACCCCCGATCTGTTTTTTTAAATGCCTTGCTCGATACTGTATATGTTAAATATACTCACTGACACATATTTATTATCATAATCCTGAAACGCTATTATTCTCAATAGATATAATAGTGATAATATAGTAAAATAAAGATTCAATTTAGTAAACAACGTAATTTGAATTAAGACACCATGCTACAGGTAGTTATCTGGAGGTCGTGGGTTCGATTCCTACCAGAATCACTTGCGAGATGTGTTCGCAAGTATTTGGGAACGTATTAAGTATTTAGTAGATAACACGTCAGGTAGGACAAAAGCATCATCCTATAACATAAATTAACAAAAAATTATTATTTTCTGATTGTTAATTTAAAAACGTTATGCAAGATAATAAATAATCGATAAAAAGTACATGATATATAAATAAGTCATTGCTTTACCTGTAAAATATCAAACATAGCGAACAGTATTTGTACAACGAGTCCATATATCTTAAGAGAACATAATCCAAAACCCCATGCAATTACCATTAACGTGATTTGCACCCAGCAGCCTTTGCAATGGTTCCTGTTAAATTGACCAATGAGAAACATTGTTTATTTCAGTATGTTTAATTTGCTTTATTCATACATACACTACAAAAAGCTAGACAGACATAAAATAATATTTCACTAGGTTTACTTACTAGGTAATTTCACTAAATATTTCACTAGGTTTACTAGGTGAATCGTCACATAAAGAAAGAAACCTACTAGTACTAAATACTATTTAGTACGTCTCAAACTTAACAGTTGTATTTGGTTGCCTTGATATAAAAAAAAAATATTTCTTTTTAATTAACCATTAAATTTGAAGGCGTACTTACTGGACGTTTCTAAATCTAAGAGAGCAGCTTAGCAACGAAGACGATAAATTGATATTTAATTGGTTTGATGAGAGGAAATGAATGAAAATAGATATTAAGAAGTCATTATTTCCATAGATTCTTGGAAAATTAACTTTCATCGATTTTAGCATCATCACAATATGCCTACAACTACAACGCACATTCATTTATCATTTGTTTTCATTTCTTTGTTATTGTTATAGATCCATAATAAAAATAGACAATACTTTAAATCGTCAGAGAAGTCAGAATGTATGAAAAAAATAAGGTTGATTTAAATTAATGTTATGATGGATATGCATACACGACTGATTTATCTACCAAATTAAAATACACTGGCAAAAACAAACCCGTAGACACCCTTTAAATTAAGATATTAGTGATGTTGAACAGTAGTATTTCCAAGATTTAAAATTTTCGGTGGACGATAGAAACGTAATGTAAATGAAAATTTCACAAAATGGGTGGAAATATCGATATGTATGTTGAGTTCCACAGAATAGTCTTTAATATTCTGCAGAGGATTCCTGCCCATTACCACTCACAATAATACAGTAGCCAGATTTTTACAAAAATAAAAAAAATAAAAAAAAATCTTATATCATTTTTATCTACCTACATTTCATCATTTAATCTAAATTTGATTATAAAAAGGAAATTCACATTACCAGACATTTTTGTTCTCCTCTCTATCTTTGGAATACGCACTCTCCATGATATCTCGACCAGTATATATAAGTACAACCGTTGTAATCTGAATATGACACATTATAACAATGTTATTATGGTGCAT